ACGCCAAATCGAGTCCCCTTTCGCAGCTGTTTGTGGGTGGGCCAAGTATTTGTGGCCAAGTGCCAAATCAAAAGTGCCGGCACTCGATGATAAATATGATTCGCATGTGTGCAGTCAAAAAGATCGTTTTCCCAGATAAATGGTAAATGGGTTCAGGCAAAGACCCCAAGTTAGCAACAGAACTTAACCCTTATGTTAGTAACCAACTTTACCGACGTCTTTTAGCAACCGGCTAATTCTGAATATCAAAAATTTTGTTTATTTTATTAAAAAAAAATTTTCCAAAATATTTTTTTCTTAAAATATTAATAGTAAGTGACAATATAAGGAAAAAAAAAAAGTGATGACGCTAAAAAGAAACCAGAAATAATAAATTTCTATAATAAATATAAAACTGGAGTCGACACAATGGACCAAATGGTGCGGAGATACACCAGTCAACGACGATCCTCGAGATGGCCAATGGCAATGTTTTTCAATATGTTAGACATTTCTTCACTTGCGTCATATATAATTTATTATGAAAATAATAAAACGATAAAAAAAAAAACGACAGAACGTCGTCAATTTATGCGTAAGCTAAGTGAGGAACTAGCATTGCCGATGATTGAAAATTGTACCGCGAATCCACAAATAATGCGTCACTTTTCAACAAAGATTGCCATTCAAAGTATTTTAGGCCATGCATTGACAGAAACAGTCGTGGTAAATCCTGGTCCAGAGATTCCAAAAGATAAAACCGGAAGAAAAATGGTTATAGGATCTTGCTATGTCTGCAATGCTTTGCCAATAAGAAGACGGCGAAAGACACGCAAGTCTTGTGCCAATTGTCACCAACCTGTATGTGACGAACATTCAGTAAATCGTGTCCAGTGTGTTCAATGTAATTAATTATATTGCATGCATTTATAAAAATTTTATTCACTTTATTTCCTATGCTTTCACTGTGGGTACCCGGGTACCCGGTTGCTAATGAGGCGATGGCTGAAGTTTAAGCATAAAAAAAAATTATAAAAAAAAAAATATAAATTAAATGAACTCGCAACTAGCTTTATTTTAAGTTAAAAAACGACGATTTGAGAGCTTAAAATGAAATATTGAACTTGCTTTAAGCTTTTCACACAGATATACCGCGGGAGGTACCCGGGTACGCGGTTACTAACATAAGGGTTAAACTAAACTTTATTTTAAATAGGTATCTACTTATTTGGTTTGGTTCAAAAAACAAAATACATACCCGCTTCTAGTTATTGAAAGTGTTCAGAGTTCTTTTTAAGCTGATAAAAGAATTTTCATCTTTGGTTGATTTTCCAACTGGATTCAAATTGAAAATATTCCCACAATGCCTTTTAGTTTGGTTTGGTTAGAGCATTAACCTTGTGTATGAATGTTATATTTTTGAATGTAGATTGGCCCACAAGTGATATAATAAATGCAATTCTAAGGAAAAAAAGTATTCCTTATCAAAAAAATTTTATTACCATTAGTTGAAATATGTCACTAAAAAGGTTATTCTATAACTCAAAATCCTACAACTTAAAAACTAATGTTAGTCCACTTGAAAATCTTTAAAATTTGCAAATGTTGAATCGGAAAAGCAAGGCTCTTCACTTTCATCTTTCTCCTTCACCCACTTTAAGGGGTGTATCTAGCCGAATCGAGCCTTGAACGTCTGAAATTCTTCGCTCGAACAGACAGCCAGCCAAAAAGTTTTGCCAGACGACATCGGCCAATGAATTCATGACCAAATGGGTACAATGTCAATAGCACACGCCCCAAACCAAAAAAGATCGGATGAGAAAAAAACCATTCTGCTCGTGTGCCCCACATTAAATACATACTTGGATAAACGATTTGGTTCATTATTCGGTTCTTTTTAATGTAGATATGCGAATTCGTTTTTTTGAATAGCCGAAATCGGAAATGAAAATGAAATTGCGCCGCAAGCTGAAAAAACCAGCAGCAGCGATAATGCTAAAAATATTGTCTCGATCTGCAGCAATTCTATATTTGTACTAATTATATAAATATTTGAAGAGTATTTGGCCGGATTTGTGTACTCAACTGTATGTATTTGTAGTGGGCCAAATGTGGATCAGGTTTTAATTTAATGCCGACACGATAAGAGAAACAGTTTGCACGAGACCAAGGTGCCAAAAGTTGGCGAAGTGAGAAACACCTTACTTGTAAAGTGATATTAAAGAATTTATAATAGGCAAAAGTCAGTCTTGTAGGATAGGCCATGGACCCTAAGCTAAAAAAGTTGCATTCCGTGTGAAAACAGAAATATGTAGAGCATTTCAGCGTCCAAAAATGAAAACAAAATTCGGTTCAACGTGTGAATTGCAAGTTCGTGACGGAATGAAGGCGCCAAGAAATTCAGATAAAGGTGATCGAATGGGAGGCACCCTCAAAGATGTTCTTTTTTTTTTAAGAAAAATGGTAAATTTCAGTGCACTGACTTAGCTTACTTAATATTTCTGAGTATAGAAGGTAAAAAAGATTTCTATTTAATTTATTGTTCTGTTGTACATAAGTAAACCGATATTGATAGAACATATTTGTTATGGCAAAATATACGGATAATTGTAAACCAACAAAAAATATTGAAATAAAACGGGAACCGCCGGGCAAAAAATTTGTTAATAATCGAGTTAAGTACGAATATTATTTGCAGAGCGGCGAGCGCAAAATAAACAATATTGTTGTTCTTTTCAATTGCGTCAATGCGGGGTCTTAGAATTCTGAGGAGGTGGAAAACGGCGAGTATGGCTATAACCAGTGGGCTAACAAGTGTTTTGGCCCTCTCAACTCGTCTGGCAAAAGGTATTAGCGCATTTGTTGCCCCTGTCTGGGGAAACTTTGAGCGGAAAAGACCTAGCATCGATCGATCATTATCAGCGATTGGATCAGTAAACAATATTAAATTCTCTAAACAATACTTTGCTCGCTTTCATTTTCTTCTGGCAGACAGACGAACACTGAAAATTTTGCGCTTGTTGCTGTTTTAAATTTTTTGTTTACGCAGTCGGCGGTTTAATGACACACACAAAGGGGGAACTTGTTAACGCGGCTAAAAAGCAATGGGAAAATAACATTTTTGTTTTTAAAAAATCCTCAAAACAGAATCTTTGAAATGCAATCTCTTCAAGCGTTGAGTTCAATCACTTAAAGTATAAACAAACATTTTTATGGACGTACTTTGCAGCGCACATAAACATCCGTAGTTTTGTAAGATGGTTTCAGCACGTCTTTCTTCTCAAGTGTTTCCATAAATATTAATTGTTTGAAGCTTACAAAATGAGAACTATTTTCTAAATAAGTAGAAAATTATTTATTAAGGTCATATTTATAATATTGTTGAATATTTTTACAAGCGCACAAGCGGCGCAATATTAACAATTATAATTGCACCGTGCCTGCTATTTATTCGTATTTCCCAATTGCGTTTTAATTTCACTCCGTTTGAAGAGGATTGGGATTGGAAATCCCAAACACAACCCCCAAAAGGTCGTCTAAATATGTAGTTGGCGGGCTGCGAATTTTCAACATTAGCGTGACTAATGTCCCATGATGTGTGACGTCGTAGAATTCGATTCAAAAATCTGCATAATTGTCAGAATGGGCGAATATAAATACAAAATAATGTGCATTAATAATTAGAAGATGTGTGTTTTGGGAATACAGAGCCGGTGAATCAAAGGAATTAAATGTGAGCAATTATTTGGGCTCTAGACGCTCCTCTTGAATCTTATGCCGTTGTCAAATCAATTAAATTTGAAATGGATGGTCAAGTGTTGGGAACCAAAAGTCGCCAAAAAATAGATATACATACATATTTCGAAAAGGTATTTTTAAAATGAAAAACCCAATTAACATATTTTCCTATCGATTTAAAAATATTTGAAATTTTTTCTTTGAAAAGTATAGTTTGTGTATAACAAATAATAAATGTCAGAGTTTGAAAAATAGTTCTCCATATTTCGTAGTCTTAGGTATTTAGCATTTTACGAGTTGAGTTTAAAGGTGTATGAGTTTTAAAAATTCATATGTCATATGCCACACGATACTTATTTTGCCACTTATTCATTTGGCTTCGTGGCCAAGTTTCATTCAGATGGTTCAAAGTTCAAGGACGTTTCCAGTCAAGCATGAAGCCAACTCCATTTTGAAATATGTATATGAAATGTATTTGTTAACAAGTATGACTTCAAAAAAAATTAATAGGACTAGAAAGTTGTCTTGAATTTCCAATTACCAGGTCATAGAACATATAATTATCATCCGATTTAATGCCAAGCCTTATATCAAGTTTTTATAAAGGGTTGCGGAAAATTACATAGTACATGTGAAACTTTAATTATTCAGGCATTGGCCTTATATGAAAATGCTTTATAAATAATTCAAGCCAACTTTTTGGGGGCGGAACAGAGTGGTCATCGAATTTTCCCAACAGCTGCAAAGAAAATTAAGGGTAAGCTATAAAAATGCGTCATATAAATGAAAAATAAACCAGCCGGGAGTTATCTTATCTTTCAACAGTCGGCTGACGGCCATAAATAATCTGAATGAAATAAACAGGCGGCAGGCGATTTTCGCTGTCACAATGTTATTCCGATTGATTATATTATTGGCAACCTATTTGCTAATTAATTAACAATTTCATGTGACAGCGGGTAGTCTTTAGATTGCGATAACTGATTATAAAATGAACCATTGGGGAAATCATTGAAACCGTCATTCCTATTTGTATAACCACATAAGCATCCACCTAAATGCAAATTATAGGATATATACAATTATCCAGATGAACCCGACACGTGGCAATTGGGAATCAATAGGCTTGATTGCTGTTTTCTTTCGATCAATTTTGTTTTGGTTCTGTTTTTTCCGGTCTTCTTGCGCCGCAATTGAATAACAAGCAAACGAAACACGAACCAGCGAATTGGATTACATGCTTAAAAAATATATTTACCCAATGGGAGACAAAGACAAGAAAATTGTGGATTTTAAAGAAGGTTTTGTTAATTTATTTTGTTGCAATTAAAACAATGTTTCTTATTTACGTTTCAAAGCCCAACAATGAAAACCCAACGCCAAATTATGTTTAGCCTAAGATGCCAGTCTGATATTCCCCGGGATACAAAACAAAATAATAATGTTAGGGTAATAAAATTAAAAACAAAAACTGGCACAGTCCCCGCAGGATTTACACAGTCAGTTAGCGTTTTGGATGTGTGGGATCTGTGTGTCCGATCTATCTGCCTACCTAAAGTTTCGTATTTGCTTACAAAATTCGAGTGAATCCGCTTATTTTCTATTAAACAAGTTCTACGACAGAAATCTAGGATTGCAATATTTTGTGTGGTTGTGCTACGGGCTAAAGTGTTATCTAGACGGGGTAGTACAAAAATATATATATATATATATTCATATGTTACATCTAAGTGGTCATCTAGATGCCGAGCAGGCACTCGCCGTCACCAGGAGCGACTGCTGCGGCGAATCCCGCTGGCTACGCCTGCGTCACGAAGTACACCTCGCCGGAGGAGCCCACGACCACGGCGTGGGTGTCGCCAGCTCCGCCGGTCAATGCAGCACTCTGGCCGGTGGCCATCATGTTGGACATGTCGGTGGTGCCGTTGCTCACGATGCTCACCGCTCCGCTGAAAGCATCGTCCTGCGTGCTCATCTGCACATCGGCACTGTGATCCGTGCTCTCGACGTGCACCTGCAGTGAGTCCACGCTGTCGTACAGAGATCCACATTCGCCGCACTTGAAGAGCGGCTCCACCACCTCCGGATGCTTGCGCTCCACGTGGCACTTCAAGTTCACCGCCGAGGAGAAGTTCTTCCGGCAGTTGGCCACGCCGCAGCAGTAGGCTCGCTGCTGATGCGTCTGCCTGTGCCTGTACAGGATCGCCTTGGACTTGAAGGTGCGATTGCAGATGGTGCACACCGGAGTGCTCGATTCAGCGTCGTGCGTCTTCATGTGCATCCGCAGCATTCCCGGCCCCTTGAAGCTCTTCAGGCAGATCTCGCACTGCGGCTGCTTTTTGCAATTGGCCCGTATCCAGTTGGTGTGCGAGTGCATGTGGTTCTGCAGGCCCTTGAACTGCCGGAACTCGGTGCTGCACAGGTGGCAGATGTACCGGCCCGATCCCAGCGGCGAGGTGTGCTGACGTATGAACTCCGTCACAAGATTAGCGTCTATTTCGTAGTTGTCATCCGCTCCGGCGGCGGCAATAACGCTGGCTGTCTGCACAAGTTGACGGGAGTTGGCCGCCGCCAGCTTGCTGCTGATCGTCGGTCCAGCGGTAGGTGGTTGGTGGTCGCAGGGTTCTAGCGTCACGCCGGCTGATGCCTGGTTGCCTCGTTTGGCCCGCTTGGGCGTGGGACTCGCCGAGTTAACGGACAGAGTGGGAGGCACCAGTGAGTCCGCCGTGGCTGTGGCCTGGCTAAACTCAACGACGGCGTTCTCCAGTGATATGCTCTGCAATTCATCTGGCTGCTGCTGCTGTTGATGCTGCTGCTGATGATGATGATGATGCGACTGGTCGGACTCGAGGAAAGCCTGATCAATGTCCACACTGCCCTCGCCATCCGGTGGCTCCATGATGTACTGCAGGTCTTCGTCCACATCGCCGGACAGATGCGGTTCTTGATCATCCGTGATGTACTCACAGTCCTGATCAATTTCCTCAACATCCGGGTCGTCCAGCATCTCGTCATCCTCCAGCTGGATCTCCTCGATGATGAACGTATCCTGGTCTTCTTCGTTCTTTAGCTGTTCTTCCTCTTCTTCTGCCTCATCCATCGCCTGCTGTTGGTCCAAATCGTCAAAGTACTCGTGCTCCTGGCTTTCGCTCTGCGTAAGATCTTCGTTGATCATCACTTGATGGTGCTCGTGGTGGTCCTTGAGGAACTCCTGCTGCTGGTCGTCGTCCAGGACAATGGTCTCGAAGCTGTGATCTCCCTTGCTGTCGAGTTGTTCGTACACCTCGTCCAGGTCGTCGTCCTCCACCTCGCAGCTGTCCTCCAGCAGCTGGACGTCCGCATCCGCCAGGGAAGCGTCTACATGCTGGCCCATGTCCGTGGCATTGGTGGTGGTGGTCACCGTTGTCACTCCGGTGGGCGCCAAACTGCGCTGCGGTACCAGTTGGACTAGCTGCAGGGTCTGCGTTCCGTTGGGCTGCTGGACAATCTGCAGTGTTTGCCCGTTCGGCGTCTGCAGGAGTTGGGGCAGGAATTGAGACTGGGCAGCGGTGGCCTGTCCATTGGCGGTCGCCTGCGGCGTCGTGCTAATAATCTGCGCTAGCTGCGGCGCCACAATCTGGGCTGTTGTGATCAATTGACCGTTGGGCAGCAGGATCTGCTGCGGCATTGTTGTGGTGGCACCGGCAGTGGACAGTAGCTGGGCGGGAGCTGGCTGGAGAGTGGGCAGCTGAATCTGCTGGATCTGTTGCTGCAGCGTGGGCGGTGGCGGCGCGGGATCCGGCAGAAGTTGCATCTGTGGTTGGGGCGCAGGCTGTGGTGCCGGAGGAGGAGCGGCTTCCAGCAGCCGCTGCTTCTGCTGGCGAGATCCCTTCCGGAGCAGCGGCTTCAGTTTGGGTTTGGTCGGAGTTTGCTGCTGTTGCTGGATTAAGTTCTGCTGCTGCAGTTGCTCGTCCAGCAGTTTCTGCTGCTTTTGCAGCATTCGCTGCTGCTTGCGCTCCAGCTGTAGCTGCTGCTTGGCATTGGCCGCTTGCTGTTCCTCCATCACCAAGGCGACAGTGAGGCCGCAGATGTATTCGCGCAGCTCTTTGTCGCTGCGCTCGACGAGCGTCTTAAAGGCGTGATTCCTGCTCACGGCGTGGACACACTGCACGCAGATCTTGTCCGGCCAGCCCTCCGTGGGCTCCACGCGCACATTGGTGCAGTCCATAAGCATTTCGGGCACCTTCTCGCTGAATAGCGGGCGCATCTCCTTGCGCTCCGAAATGCACAGGCGGCAGATCTTGTCCAGCTCCAGGACTTTTTTTGCGATCCATCACTGCGTGTTACTAGGGGGAGGCTGCAATGACAGAATATTAGCGCAAATCATCCATTGAATTTTAGGCAAATCCACAAAAGGTGCACCGGCATGGAGTTTGTTGTGATTTGCCCGCCAAAATTTGCCAATTAAAAAACAGACTAATTTAATCATTTGTTTACATAGCTGCCAAACTGCTGTTAACTCTCTGTCGCTTACAGTAAGTATTCACAGGTCTGGTAGCTCTTGCGCCAGACAGAGACAGCTATGGTGTTATACACAATTTACCATCCTTGTGTTGGTGTGAGCGAAAAATAAGATTTTCAGGCCCAGAAACGAAACAAATACATAATCCTAGATTTGAATCGGGCAAATGTTTTTGATTCACTTACTCCCGCACTGCCTGCACCTTTTAAACCGGGATTTACCACTTAATGAAGCTCACCTGCGTTGTATTTATGTAATTTCCGCAGCTCGCCCCACATCCAACACACAAAACTCTTCAAATATGGCCGCGTCACACAAAATCTCTTTCGAAACTCACATATTTGTGGTCTGGGAGAAACACACACGTTTCACGGGATTCGAAATCAAAACAATTGCCACACCAGTGGGTCTTTCGCGGACCGGATCGAATGAAATCACTAGCTATCTGCCGACGTTATCAATAAAGTTCGATGAGATGAATGAATTTCTCCGCCAGCCGCTGAACTTCTACCTCTGTCTTTTTCTGTGTGTGAGTGAGATGATAGGCGTGTTGCACTGGGCACTGCCAACTTGGTGTTCACGAAGATCCCTAACGCATTGGCGTCCTGATAAGCCATTTGATTGTTTTTTAAATTTAAAGACGGTTCTCTCAAACTTAATAACTAATTTATTTCTTACCTTACCTTCTTTTAGTAATCAAAAAGCCATTTTAGTCGACGTCATAATTTTAAAGTTGCCATGTAAGGTATCCAAAGTGTTCTCATTATTGCTTTAACATTTTATAAAATGTATATCACTTTACGATTTGTCCTGCTCCCCACGAAATGTTTTTTGGCAATATGTTACTTTACACTTGCTCTCAAAACATAAAATGAAAAACTTAGTTAAGGACTTGACAGTGGTGCTGCCAACTCGTATAATTGATTTGACATTTCGGAGTAAAAACACCTGTTGATGTTTTTTTTCGGATTTATAAAACTTAAAGGTAATGCTTATACTTCTCAGGATGGTGGAGCCACATTTGTGTTGGCCAGGTCGTACATTTGACGCTGCTTGTTCCTTTTGCTATGGATGCGTACCAGAAGATATATACCCAGGATAACGAGGAGGGCCAATAGCAGGGAAGTCACTACAAACCAACCGTAGAAGCCGGGCTCATCTTCATCCGCATCCTCCTCCTGAGCGTTTTCCCACTCGGTGAAATTGCCTGAAGGATCCGCCTCAAGCTTTCCTTTCTTTTGCTCCCGGAAGAGCGATGCCTTGGCAAGATTATTCGATTCCGGGGCCATAAAAACCGGTTCCGTTTTGTCTATCCGAACAAACGTAAGCTGGGCTCCAATCAAAGGTTGCCTGCAACGCCTCAAACCATGGCCATAGTACTCGTATATATCAGCACCAAACTGCCGATGCTGGTCCACCCACTGGCCAATCACCTGAACCTTTACCTCGCTCCGGGGATCCATGCTGCGTCCGAAATAAGCCTTTTCCGCCACATTCATGCCGCCCACTCCGTTAAAATCCAGCTCCAGGACGGATCCTCGATGCTCGAATAAAAGGGGCAGATTGGCCAATGTTTTGTCCTGAAAAACACTGCTCATATTTAGGTGGATCTTCTCCACGAACTCGTAGTTCAGGCTGCCGTAGATGGGCTTTCGTTCGCCACTAGGATTGCGGAGCACACTTTCGCCCAGGTGCATCTTGTAGCTGTAGGATACATTGCGCCACGGCAGGTAGGTAATGTTTCTCAGCTGATACATCAGGGGTTCGAGCTCTACCAGCACATTGATGTTGTCCTCCAGGCCGTACTATAATAAGTAATTATTTTTAGACTGTCTACGGTGCCATCTTCATATGAAACTCACAAAGTTGTCACCGAAAATCATGACCACGCAGGTGAATAAACTGTCGGACACCGCGTTGACCAGATCCGTGTGCCGGAAGTGACAGAGCTCGGTCTTCTCACGCTCCACGTTCGTGGCCTTGGCAATGTAGGTCAGCCGCTCCTTGGGATTCAGCTCGGCCGCATAGTGACGGAGCACCGTGTGATAGGGCACCCAAGCGAGCACCGAATCAGCTCCGTTGTCACAGATCTCCTTTTGGACTCCCCGTCCGTGCAGCTCACCGTTGTGGAGTCGGAAAAAGTGGTGGTTATCCCGCTTAATTGTCGTGGAACCGTGATCCACACACAGGGTGTCCAAGAGACTAGCCTGCGAATTAGGAAGATAAAAGTTTAGACGGGAAACAACCACCTTGTTCGGCGATAGCCCCTTCTTCGGCTTATCTTAGGTCCGCCGGCATTATCTTCCTCAGCTGCGATGGACACTCTGTCTGTTTCTTTATCGTCAAGCTAATTCAATTTGGAATATCAGCCACTCGAAGGTGGCACACGAATAATTTATGGCTGGCATTGGATTTGTCACTTAAGGATGTCGATGAGACAAACTTGTTTCGGCGAAAAACACTTTGCCATTTAAGGCAGGGAATTTTCATCTCACTAAGGTCATTAAATACAAAAAAGGAAAACATATGGTGCGTTGGGCACCTTACTCAAAAATGTGTAAAAACTAATTAAGTTGAAATCTTTTTTTATTCAGTTTTAAATAGTGTTCAAATTTTTTATTTGAGAAATATAACAATTTGAAATAAAAGATAAAACTATAAAAAATAAAAACCAATTGCATAAAAATGAATTTTGAGATATTGTTATTTAAAATTTGAATTTTAAATTATAAAACACGTTTTAAGCCATTAATTATATTCATAATTTTTACGAGAATTGATTCCAAAAAAAAAAGATTTTATTAAAAAAGGAAAAAGGTAAAAAATTTCAAACCTGATAAGATATTAAAGTTCATCCAAAATCGAAGATATTTGATTTAACACTGTTTGTTTAGTCAACTGTTTACTTCCATAAATTAGCTTATCGTTTGGTATTCCCACATGCAAATGATTCACCTTTTCGTTTTGGGTCAGAGTGGTTGCCTTAATGTGGCACTGCAGGTCCTTCTCGCTGGGAATGACTATATGCCGATCGATTTCCGACAGGAGCTGTGGCTCCGTCTCGATGCAGAAGTGCGGGTGCTCCTCGAAGGCAGCTCCCAGAGCCACCAGCACCGTCAGGTAACCGAAAGTAATGGCTTGCTTTAACATTTCCGCACTTCTAATGGCCGGAGTTCTTGGGTTCAATTGCGGCGGAACCGTCGATGAGCACACGTCGGTGGACAAGTCGTAACTAAATTTGCAATTTTAAAATGACACCTGAGCGACAATCTATTCGAACGCATTTAGCTTGACGGGGCGGCAGTCGCATAGCGAACACCCGAATATCACCATATTTATCTAGAATGAAGGATTCGGCCGAGATTTACTTCGATATTCGGCGACAGCCGATCCGTATTAACGTCACCGCAACGCAAGTTAGTAAGCAACGACTGGGGGGAATTCGTTTCCCAACTTGGAGTCCACACTCGGCGATAAGATAATCATGGAACGACTACGGCCGGCATTCGACTCAAACTCCAAATTGACCGTATGTTTCACACCTGTTATGCTATGATTTTTTGTGAACATTAGGGTGGATCGATCAGTCTACTCTGTTGTAAATATATCCATTTAAAAGTTTCAACAAAATGTTAATTGTTTTTCTCACTTTGACACTTGTGAGCAATATTGAGATATTATCTTATTCAAAAAGGCAGACATTCGAAAATGATTATTATGAATCCAAGAAAAGAAATCAAATACTTTTAATTTGAATACATACTTATATGGGTATATTTTTTCTGATCGTCTTAGTTGTACGCATAAAAACCTGCATACTTCTGAATAATGAATACAAATTGAATGTCCTAAAAAATAAAGCTTAAAATTACACAAAAATTGGGATACGTTTCCAGGATTTCCTAGATTTCTACAGCATTCAACGAATACCTGATTTTAACAATTTCTTTTATTTTCTTTAGCAAAAGTATACAATTCTTTTTTAGGTTTGTACAGAGGAAATTGTTGGACAATTTACAGATTTGATTTTCACAGTCGGTACTCATCATACGATCCCTTTAATACATTTTTTCTTACTACAATGCATTGGTGCGGCCTTCGTATTTGTTTTGTACAAAATTCAAAAATAACAATTTAAACTTTAAATGTAACAGACTTATTATGTAGGTTCACTAAAACTATCGACGACTGCTGATCTCTTTCCTGTGTGCGCGCTGCGGACAACATTGAGGACCGAAAGACACAAGACGAGACAGTGGGAGAACAATGGAACAGTGGATCGGTGGAGGAGCAGTTGTGTTGGTGGTGTGGATGAGGAGTAGTGGGCTCAATCTAGGGGAGGAGAAAATACAAGTCGTATACGAACAGAGTCTAGAGATCTTAAATTACCGTCTGAGCTGCCTTGATCGTATAAATCAAACACATCAAAGTCACCCCCGACATCGCCAATGTCGCTCCCGTCATCGTCGTCCATGTCATCATCGGAGTCGAGCAGATCCCCATCATCGTCCTCCTCTTCGAGGTCCCCGTCATCATCGTTATCCGAGCCGTTCAGGTTGCGCATGAAATTCGGGAAACCCATGAAATTCGGACCTAGAGAAAATGCTGCGAGTTGAGCCTATTTTGAAAGAACAAAGGTCAAAGCCCTCAAAAAAGATACTCACTGTTCTCGGAGCCCGTATCCGAACCGTCCTCATCAGATTCGGGCACCTCCTCATCATCTTCCTGCAAGCATAGACATAATATTATTTAGTTCAATATCATCCATCCGCCACAAGAGCGTTCGCAGATCTATGGCAGCGCCGACTCCGAATCCGCCACCGCCATTTAGATTCAGATTTCCATTGCCTGGGCCACTGCCATTGCCACCCAGTGTACGTGCCCGCCGTCGCACCCCAACAATTGAGCTGTTGGGTGCATGTTGGCGAGAAAGATTCGGACTTGCGTGCAATGCGGGACTTAGCCGACGGGGCTGTTCCTCCTCAAGCTCGTTGGGGCCAGCGGGCGGTGCGTTCTCCGCCGGCGGCGGACGTGCCGGTGCCTCCTCAAAGACGCGAAGCAGAGAGGCACCGCCGACATCGTTGGCGTTTGCCGGCGCCGGCGCAACTGCGTCCAGCGACACCTCGCTGGCCAGCTCCTTAACCGCACGCACCTCTTCCGAGCGCTCGCTCTTCTTCACGCCCACCGCGTAGATCTTCACATAGGTCTCCTGCTTCGACTCGTAGCCGCTGTAGTCCTCGACCACTGCAATCAGGCTGCCATTGGCACTGACACTCAAATCGTTGATGTTGCGCTTCACGTCAATGGTGGCAATGCTCGAGTAGTCGTAGGCGTCCAGCACGTTGAAGCTGGTGTCGTACGTGGTCGTCTCCATGTCGTGGTCCCTATCCGCACCCAAGCTAGCCCCGTAAATCACGTGCATCGGCGAGAAGGTGAGGTTTCGCTGATCCAACACTGGCACTGTCTGCAGCAAGTGGAAGGTGCGCAGGTCCCACACCTCCGTGTTGGCTATGATCTGTGTGGGGATACCAATATTAGTAGCTGAGGATGGGTTACAACAAATTCGCGCCTTACCTCCAGACAATTTGGGTGAAAAACACCCGAAATGCACTGATTGAACTTGTCAAACTTGTGGATCTCCTTGCCGGAACGCACATCCCACAGAACGCCATCTAAGGAAATGGAAAAGTAATAAAGTAAGTAAAGTTAATTGTGTTTACAAATCATACGTTTTCCTTATTTCTTACCCGACAAAATCAGCTCATCGGTTCGGCAAAGAGTAGCTCGATTTTTGGTGTAGAGATTGGGTATGGTTGGCGTAAAAGTGGCGATCGGGGAACCGGCGTTAATGTCAAAGAGCGTCGCGCACTGCAAGTCAAATGCATAACAAATTGTAAGTGAAATTGTAAAAACAACTTTTTTAAATAGTAAATACCTCATTTTGTGTGCCCAGGAGGCGATCCTGCGCCGTCTGACTAAACTCACAGTAGGTGCAATCGGGAAGACGCAGCTTTAACTTGAACTCATCGTCCGCAATGGACCACAGAATGCTGGTTGGCGTACGCCAGAAGCTCGATGTGATGACCAGATCCCCAGCTCGGTTCGCTTTGATGGCATCAACGCTGAAGTTGTGGCAGTTGGAGAAGAATTGCTCGACGCCGTCGTTCATGTTGAACACTCGTCCGTCGCCTTGTTGCGTGCCCACGATTATGTACTTGCCGACCAAATCGCAGCAGGTGAACTCGAGATCCTCGTAGTCCGCCGACCGAATGCTTCGCCATGGCGAAAAGTGCGTGTGGACATAGCGACGGTCAAAGCGTCCAGTATTGAATCCCGCTTGAGTGCGTGCATGCCTGCTGGTCAGATTGTAGTTGGAGCTAAGGAGACGACTGGGCTTTGGATCCGGACACTTGTGCGGTTCGTACAAGTCAAACTGCGGGCAGGTGGTCACCGGATTGTTGCACAGCGAGTGTTGGTTGGTCAGGTATTCCGTGACGATGGTGTTCAGGGTGATCCTCTTTGGGTGCAGTTGGCCATCATCCTGCTGAGCCACGGCCATGCCTCCCGATTCGATCGTTGGCTTCTGGATCGAGCGACTCACAGAACTCCTCTCCGTCCTCCTGATTTTTATGGGCGTCTGAGTCGTGTTAAGAGAGCCAAAGTTGGGTATGCTGACTCCCTCTGCTGCGTTGCTGCCGCTTGCTCCTCCGGCCGGCGATGAGTCCTCGCCGAAGCTTCTGTTAAGGTCTCCGCTGCCCATTATCGCTGCACTTACATCCTGCATGCGGCTCCGCACGCGATTCCTGGACAGCGAGCCACTGCCACTGGGAAGTGTTTTGTAGTCAAAGGGTGACTGATGGAAGCTGCGCGTGGTGGGCGTTTGCAGCGGAAGGCCCACCTCGCGTTGCAGCATTTGGGCCGTCTGCGAAAGACCATTGCTCTCCAGGTGCTCGAAGATGAGCTGGTACAGCTGCTGCTTGTTGTACTGTATGCGCGTCTGGGCAATCACATTGGCTTTGTGCATGTTGGAGAGAGACGGATCCAGCGGATTTTTTAGCGGTTTAGTCTTACCCGACACTCGTTCGAGTAGTTCTAAAGCGTACTTCTGGAAGATAACATGTTCGGCTCGCTTCTCCTGCAATATGGGATCCCGCATCAGTGTCTGGAGTTGACCGCTGGCGAAGAGGGGAAGCTTGCTGACAATCTGTCTGACTCGATCCGATCGAGCCAGTCCGGCGAGGGCACGACAGGCCATTCCTCGGATACAGTCCGCATCCGTAATTGGTCCTTTGGTCTGCATCAGCGAGAGCAGAACTACGATGCCATTGTTGCTGCAAACCGACTCCCAGACGCGTTCAATCAGCTCCTCAGCGTACTTGTGGTTGGCTTTGTTCTTCCTCGAGGAATTGCCGAACTTAATCAGGCTGTTACCGCTGTCTTTGCGAATGATTGGTGAACAGACGCAGTGGCAGAGCACTGCCAGCGCCGACTTGATTACCTCCGCATCCGAGGTGATCTCTCCTGCGGCAGCTCCCAGAACCGAGCAGAATCCCGAAGTGGTGGTCTTGTCCAACATCAGCAGACGTTCGCAGAGCACCACATAAACTCGTGGAATAATGCAGCAAACACTGAGGACATCCAGAGCCGAGCGCACCGTCTCAGAGCGTCCACTGTTCACCCAATCGTAGCTAAAGGCTATGATCCTAAGGAGCATGGTAATACCGCCAAGTTTCATTAACTGATCCACCGGTTGCCAGTGAGCCCGGATGGAAGTATGCTCCTGGAGCGTGCGAATCTGATCGTGCAACTGGTCAAAGGTTAGCTTGGCGGCCACCGTGGGATTCTGGTTAAAGTAGTGGGTCGACGAGGGCGACGAGGATGCCGCGTTGTGCTGGCACAGGAAGCTGTTGTACTTGTAGAAGAAATGCGCTTCCATGTACCGCTTAAGAGCCACGCAGACGTGGCGTACCATTTGTCGGGAAGCACACTCTACGTCTTCGTTAATATCAGAGTCGTTGTCGCTATCGTTGTGGCTCGGATCAAGGATCTTCAGCACGGAAATCTATTGGAAAGGCAGGGAAATCAAGGAATTAGTCTTAATGTTTTATATACACATTTAACTTATATAAATTGATGTCCACTTACCACATTGTAGAGCTTTCTTAAGCCATCCTGGGCATCAAACTCCTCTAATATAACCTTAAACTGGAAGCTCAAACTAAAGAACATGGTGGCATGGCATTTGGAGGAGTCATGACATCGACCCAAGATCCACAGTGCATAGCGGACGAGCTCCGAAATCAGCGGACGTTGCATACTGCAAATGCGCTCCATAGCGTCCTCGCAGTACGCTAGGTAGTAAATAGCGATGGAGACACCTGTGGTGGCCAAACTGGGTCGTGGAACTTTCAACAAAAGCTAGAGCAAATAAAGAATTATGTTTGGAAAATAATTTTTTGTTGGGTTGATTCAGTTTACATACCTCCAGTCCGCCGTGCGATATAAACTCCAAAGCAAACTTTTTGTGGCAAAGAAGAGAAGCCAGATACTTCAAAACCTCATATGCCAGGCAAGTGTCCCTTCGATCTAAGTTCTCGAGGTAACCGAATATCAGCTGCATCACATTGTTTTCGAAGGCCATGGCGAGGAACTCCTGGTATTCACCCAGGCTGGTTAGGAAGCGCATGATTAACATTTGGCTGGTGTCGGCCGTGGGCGGATGTAGTGGGATGTACATTCGTTTGTAGTAGCGGGACACGGGAAAGGCGTCCCGACTGTTCTCGAACAGAATAGACATATTGGAGGCGTCGCCATGCTGCGAAGAACTGGCGCCCAGGCCACTGCCATTGTGCTGCGGCGACTGAGGAGCAGAAACATTGCTCGCGCAGGCAACCCAGCTGAGCATTCCAGCCGTACTGCTATCCGCCGAGTTATTGTGCAGCGAGGTATTGGCTTCCGGAGCGGCACTTTTGCTGATGGCCAGCAGCATGTGCAGTCGCTTGATCATCTTGGGCACTAAGCGCATGTTTTGATCACGGAAATTAACGGCAATGTCGTTCATTTCCATGGCTTCGGCCAAAAGTCCGGTGGCGTAGCTTTGAAGTGGTTCTATGCTGTCCTCCGCCCAGGAGTAGATGCGATTGATGGTTCCGTCGCCCTCGGCGGTCTGAAATACTGCGGAGGTCTCCATACCTGGCATTATCTCCAAGATGAGCCGACAGGCTAGGATGTTTAGTTCCAAGGAACTACGGCTGACGTTCTGGCGACTGAAATAATTCTCTCGCAGGTAATCGTTGAGCAGCTGATGGTACAAATTAAAACACGTTAATTAAATGTTGAAATGCAATCTGGTCTTAGCCAAGCTAATTGTTATTTCAAGTGAAATATGTATGTATATTTCAAAAGCTTTCTCTTACTTTGCCCATAAAGGTGTCCTTGCGGAAAAGCAATTTCAGCAACAATCCGTACTGGCAACTAGGATCGGCTCTGTAGGGATGTCGTGAGTCTAATGGGTCCGGATCCTTCCGCCGATACACATCCTTTTCCCTTTCAAAGATTTCCGCCAGGCTGTGTAAGTGAAGGAAATTTAGACGGGTTGGATAGCAATTTTTGTCATTATTTCTTTACCTTCTCAGGGTGGGCACTGGATCGTAGCCATTCTGGGTCTGCTGTTGCTCCCACTTGTCGATAATCGTGGTTAGCTCTTTCTTGGTGGCCTGTCGGCGATCGGCGGCCGCAGTTTCCTCTGGATTTCCCCCGCTGTCGCTTTCATTTTCCACACTCATTGCATCGTTCTCTTCCTCAGCTTCTGGCTCCCCCTCGCCCTGCTGCTCGGGGTCGCCTTCAGCCGGCTCCTCCTCCTCCTCCTGACCACCTTCTGCCTCATCGGCCTCTGGTGCTTCCTCATCTTCGCTTTGGTACGCCACTGCCACTGCCTCTGCCATCAGCGCTGCCTCGGTCGCCGCCTCTGCCTCCGCCGCTGCCGACGCCTCTGCTCCGGCTGCATTTTCACTGTCACTGCCCTCAGACATCGAAATTGAGTCCCTGGACGCGGATGCACTAGCTTTGGTCCTAGTCGAACACTTATTTGTTAACTAGAAAGGCCGAAACTTAATCCCAGTGGCGAAATAAAGCGTGCGGCATAAAATACCACGCGCTCGATCTTTTTGCACAAGGTGGTGTTACCGCTCGCAGCTGGCGGGGAAAAGCAATGTTCATAATATATTAAACTGATTTCGGTATTTTTTGCTGCCTTTAAGGTCACACCGATCGGTTTGTTTTGGTTTTTAAGCAACTTATTCTCTTATGCATTAAGGTCAAAGTACATCTTAAAATCTATTAGCTATACTTTGGGGCCTGAACAAACACATATTTTTGACATGACCTTATAATGCTAAGTACTTTTTCCAGTGACAAAAAAAGCGCGCCTAACGTTTCGCGCCAACTAGAGTGACCAATCGCACTGTTAATCAATAACTCGTTAAAAAAAATACTACTGGTAATTGGTAATTCTGACTACCTTCCATGGGCCACTCTAATCGGATTGTTTTGTTTTGTCAGCCGAATTAGCCGTATATAATAAAAATCTGAATATTTATCTTTACATTTCGACTGAAGTACACATAATGGCTTTCCTGTTCATACTGGGCTGGATTTCCCTAGGCATACAGATCGTGTTCCTGACATTATCCATAGGTGAGGTGTCGCTATCCAATTTGTTGGACTAATTGCAACGTCTGCAATTGTTTATATAGTGGCTGGATTGTATTATCTGGCGGAATTGGCGGAGGAATACACCACAGCGACGAGGAAGTGTATTCTCTTTCTAATCAGCTTTACGATCTTCGTTTACATCCTGCTGATGCTCTTCGAGGACCTGCCATGGAGTTTGATAATTTGTGGATTTGTGGCACAGGGTTTTTACCTAGGGATAATGGGAGGATTTCCCTTTGTGCGACTCCTGTCGCTTCCGCTCTGGGGATCCTTAATCATGCTGGTGGTTAATCACTTCCTCGCCTTCCAGTATTTTACCACTGTTTATGTGCCTTTTACGCAGGTGAGCTACGGCCAGGGATTACAAAGGTCGAAAAATATTTATAACTATATATGAATCATTTATGGTGAAGTTTATGATAGCTATATAGACTGGCATTTCATCCTTTGGGTATGTTTTTATGAGTTTTTGAACACTTTTCAATTTGGTTCCCACAACTTTTTTCCGAATTTAACTGTTTATTCTAAACCAAAGCAATTATGAAGATCCGAATTACTTACAAGTTACTAAGCTAATCACTTAAATACCTTTATAATAAATCAAGATAGACTTCAACTGACAATTTACGTGTAAGATAGATATTTCGTTATTTCTCTAATCGGATTTTGGTTTATTACAAATTCATTATTTACATATGTCATGTACCTATTCATTTCCTTTTTTTTTACCAATACGACAATTTTACAATCAAAGCTAAAACTTTTTGATCTTAAACATTTATTTTACTCCCAAAAATGTTAAAGCCCAAACTAATCCACTATCTTATCTCCAGGTTCTTGCCTACTTCACCATCTGCTTATGGATCGTGCCCTTCGCTCTGTTTGTATCACTCAGTGCGAATGATAGCGTCCTGCCCACCACTGTTAGCGATCAGAGCAGACGCAGTCCGGATGTGGTCAGCAATTACTTCTCGCGGAACAAAAAGCAGGGCTTGCTTTCCCTGTTCCAGTATCTGAAAGAGGCTCTTCTTCCAGGACGGACCAAGAAGGCCTTCTAGATGTAGTTTATTTAATGTTTATTTATTTTTGTAGCCGAAATCGAGACAAAGGTATACAAAGCGTATATAAACTACGTTTATGCAATGACAACCACGACTGATTTTTTGTGAGCGGCAAAACAAGAAAGGGGTAGGATTGGTGATTCATTAATTATCAGGAAAAATAATTAGTTTTAAATAATTTAAATTAAAACCTAACGGGTCAACTTTTGAAGGCTTTCGAAAGTCATCAATTCAAAGCCAATTTTATTAAATAATTCCAGATTAAAAGTTAAAATGATTTCATTATTTTTCAATACACTTTATTTTGTTGTTACCTTTTAGGAACATTATAGTAACAAATAAATGCAACGAAAAGGCTACCATGGCACCTTAAAATTTATTCATGAAAACATAACGGATAGTCAAACTTTATTCAGAAAACCACTTACAACTACTTGTTCTGGACCTTGACATTGCCATCGGCCATGCCGAAATAGCACTTGTGAGCCATGTTCACGAACAGACCGGTTTCCAGAACACCCGGAATCATGGTGATGGCGCGATTTACCTCGTCCCAGTCGTACTCCCTGTTGGCGATAAACTTCCAGTCGAGCAGGAAGTTGCCATTATCCGTGACAATGGGACCTGCCTTGACCTTGGCCATTCGCAGTGAGGCTTCTCCGCCAAACAGGGCCTCAATGTGCAGCTTGATGGGCACATATGCCATAGGGGCCACCTCGATGGGTACTCCGCGGCACCACTGCTCACCCAAACGTAAGGAGTTCTTTGTGTAATCGGCCACCACAATGAAGTGCTTCGCGCAGGAGGCCACAACCTTTTCCTGGAGCAAACAGCCACCGCCGCCCTTGATGAGAACCATGTGCCGATCAACCTCGTCAGCACCGTCAATGGCCACATCAATATTGGGATTCCTGTCCAAGTCGCCAAGATTTAGGTTGTAGTCGAGGATTAAGTGGTGCGCCTGGTACGACGAGGGCACACAGATGAGATCCGTGAGCTCGCCTTCCTTCCACACGCGCTCCGCAATCCGCTGCACAGCGTATACAACTGTGGAACCACTTCCGATACCCAGAATCTTGGTATCCTCCGTGACCCATTGATCCACCGCCGTGCGGGCTGCCGTCTTCTTGGCCGCGTCCAATGCAATATCATCCATCTTTCGATTCTGGGAATAGAGTGCAGACGCCCCGAGAAGTAACTGTTCGCCGAGAGCTTGGAAGAACTGTGGTCGCTGGAGGCCTTGGCGCAATAGCCGAGATAGCATGTGGTTAACAGCTTTCGGTTTTCAATCGCAACTTCAATGTCACAGAGATCAAGCCGCTTGCGGTATGTTTTCTGACGCGCTAGGGATTTCTCACCGTCGCGTTGCCCAGATTAACAGAGCTGTTAAGCAGTGCGCTGAAAAGTCCGTTATTTTGAACTATTCACACAGCAGTGTGAATTTAAATTAAGTGTGCGTGCTTGGCCAACTTTTTGAAATTTCACTTTTTAATTTGACAGAAATAACCCTCCTAAGAAATTAAAAATGAGCGATTTTTGTTTTTATTTTCAGCTTTTATTGTATATGGCTTTAGCTGCTAACATATTTTTAATATAAATGAAAAAGTTATAGCAAGATTCTGATTTATTATTAGTACATGTATTCAATATTAAAATGCTGCTGTTCAGGAAAAGATTCCTCTTATTCAAGCTTCAACATAAATCATGATTGATTAGGCTTTTTCTTTTAAGTAGACCTTATGGTACATCTTACATTTCGGTACAATTGCTTTTTTTGTTTGGTAACTTATAAAAAATCAAATAAATTCGTCAAATTTGTATTTTTTGCGACTTATAAAAATGCGTTCCACCTCTTGGTCAAATCGAAAGTTATAACTTTCGGGGCGAAGAAACCCCCGTAACCTGGCCGCCCCTTGTAGTAGATACCCACTCCGGCTAGTGGAGTTGCGATATCAGGCACCACCTCCTGCACATCCACAAAAGGCACAGCGTTTTGGGCCGCATCCTTTAGCTGGCTGGAGCTGGTGAACTCCATGTACTGGTCGTTCTTGGAGAGCGGCACCGATGGAAACTCCGAGTTGGTGGGCAAATCACCCTCTTTCAAAACAAATTTACGACGCTGACCTTCATGATGGGATTTATCATTGCCCAGCCAATAGCTCTTTGTCTGCGGTTCGATCAGGCGACCTGAGGAGAAATTAAAAGAACTGAAGCGCACCTCCAGGTTGAGGTGTTTGTTGAAAATCCGGAAACGAACTCCAGTGACCACATCATTCCACGATTTGGCTGAAATCTCATCTAGATCCAGGGCTCGGCTGTCAGGGGTCAAGGTGTGGTAGTCGTAGCCATCGCGTATGTCCACATCGCTTACGTTATAAGCGTCTATCGGCAACCATTCCTGGGAGCTGCCATTGATTGATCCGAGGGGGAGAAGTTCGCTCTGCTGCAGCTGCAGATGGAAAACGCGATTTTTCTTCACGAACTTTATGCCAGTCACTATTTTGTTCTGCGCGTAGTCCGACATGGAATCGCGGAGGTTAAAGAAGCGATCGGACATGGGTCCTTGTTCATCGCAAAGGCAGAAGCAGTAGTGGCACCGCCAGAAGACCCAGCTCGACCAGGAGGCGGGCTTTTTTTCTGGGGAATCGCATTGCTGATTCTGATCACCGCCCTTAAAATCTATGTATTTGTAGCGTCGTATGGAATCGTTTGATGATAGACAGATTGAAATGTCCGTGTCGAGTAGGTCGCAGTTGTAGATTCTGCCCTTGCAGGCGGGTTGTTGGCCACAAAACTCTTCCTCTGGCTGATAGCATCCGCTTGAGCGGGTATCGTGGTAATCGGGGCAACTGCCCTTGCAACTTTTCTCCTCGTTCAGGTTGACCTCGTTCTCCACGAAGCCTTGCATGAAGCGTGTAACGCGATCAAAGGTTTCGCCCTCGACATGTCCACCCTTTTCGGGATCACAGCGCCAGTAAGAGCGACTGCTGTTGTTCATGACCAAAAGAAGCACCTCCACTGCTCGATCCATGCGTTTATGATGACTCTCGCGCATAAGAAGCAATTCTTGGGTGAAGTTTCCACGTCCCGATTGGCGCAGTATCATCCAGGAGAATTCTATTATGCTGTAGCCTTTGAGTTCCGTCAAGACGGCCTTGGTGAAGATCTGATAAGCAAACTGCTGTGCAGACTGCCTGGCTAAGCACATTTGCTCTGGAGATGCCTCAAAACTGGCTGTTAGTTCCCATAGCAGAGAGTGCTTGAAGTCCGGTGTGGAAAGCAATGAATTATCTACATAGAGGCATTCATTAAGCAGTTGGAGCAAGAGGGATAGCGAATTGGATCCAGGATCCACGTTCCATTTGGCGAAGTTTATTAGCGTACTTGGATGCAGTTTGTCCGTATAATTTTCGTAGCCCTCCAGCTGATCGTGACGAAGATCAATGTATTTGGTGAGGTCCTTTAGCTGATTGAGCCGGTGCAGCACTTGAGAATTAACTTGCATCTCTCTGAGAAGAGTGTTAATGATCACGACCGTGTCCCTGGTCTGCTTCTCCTCGAAATTCCGGATATGATCGTTTACCTCCTCGATTCTTTCTATTATCTGGCGCTGTTTATCGTAGATTGCAGCTGCGGCGGTGACCTCCGCCACAGGCATCTTTTCAAAAAGATCCCACGTCTTGAGTATGGTGTTAGTCACCTCCCTTAACACTCGGACAATGTCTAGTGTTTCCTGAACCGCTCCTCCTCGTCCAAAAGCTGGAAGCACGCTAAATGCGCACAAAATCAGCAAAAAGTTCATGGCCTGAAAAGCACATACAAAAAACATGTATGAGAATATGTATGTTTACAAAAATTAAGTAAACTCATCAGTTTTCATTGGCTCCCTGCTTACCCACCACTAATCCGTTCCAGTTGCGGCGAATGTCAATGCTTTTCTAAACATACGTCCGATCACTTTGAAAGACTCTAGGAAATGAGAAGATTGGAACGAAGCCTGAATATTTGTGCGGTATTTTCCGCCAATGTCAAAAGGGCTGCCAACGCGTTTTTAATATATCGCGGTATTTTTAATGCCTGAAATGGAGCAATTCGGATAAAATGTATTGAAACCAGAATAATGAAAATAATATAAAAAACAATAAACCATTTATTTTGAATAAATTTGAATTATTGAATAAAATAAAAAAATAAAAATACTGTCCATAAAAATAAGAAAAAACATGTTTTTTTTAGTTTAAGGTCTTTTTATTTTGACATCTTAAAATTTTAGCAAAAAAAAAAGGCTTGCGTGACTGCACTATTAAAGAACTTAATGTATTTCAATAACTTTAATTTGTTCAGACAAATAATTTGGTATTTAAAAATAACACTCTCGATAATACCAAAAGGCCAAAGGAAAAAATTAAAAGTGACTCACTGCTGGACTGTAAGAAGCCTGAAAGGGGGGAACCCCACCAAATGGCACAAAGTTGCATGTACTGTATTACATACATACAAACATATCTATATGCACGTATACAAACAAAAACCAAGAATATTTGAAGAAATTTAATACTTTTAGTGCACAAAGCGGGAACTGTTGAATGCCAAGCGATAAAGCTGAAAGGCAAAACACAATCTCAAAGGTGATTGCAAATTTTTCTAGCCAAGCAGCAAGTGGAAAAGCTGGAAAACCGGAACATAAGAGCGACGTGAATGGTCAGAGGAAGTCACACAGATGTACATATAAAAAAAAGGGGCAGAAATGTAAAAGATAGTGGGCCAAAGAATTTGTGTTAATGGATTTCACTTTTTAAGAAATAAATTACTATCTCCGGTGGGAGAAGAAGAATCGGAGGCCAAGCCACAAATAAAGTTCCAAGCAGTTTGCATGATTTGATGGGATTTCAAGTCATTAGCAAAAGGATGGCACACAAAGGCCCAAGAAATGCAGGGAAATTCCATCAAATGGCGATTATGAAGAGGATCAGGACGAAAGGCGATTTGATACCTGCCAAGTAGGATTACTGAAAACGGAGCTCTATTATTGTAAGCGACCTTAGTATACAGCAATTAATAGCAACAAAGAAAATTCAGAAAAATGGGGTAACACAGCAAATGTAAATTGTTAATTAAAGAAATGGGCATTGTTTAAGGCCCTCCATGTGCAATATTTCAGGCCAACACCTGAACCCATTGCTCGTTTTTCTCTATTCTTGGTGCCCTTCTCAATTACTTGTGGAAAATCATTATATGCAAAAATATAAAAAAGAAGGAAAGTCGTTTTACTCCGGGGATAAAAATCTGGATACCCTTTAAAGTTCCTAAATCAGGGGCGGACGCAGAAAAAAATATTGGGGGGTCCGGTCGAAAAATTTTTTTCGTTTGGGGGGGGTCCGGTCAAAAAAATTTTTAGTTTATATGGTTGAAAGGCCATGTGCTGTAAGGGAATTTGAAAAAGTCTGCGATTTGGGGGGGGGGGGTCCGGACCCCCCAAACACCCCCTGCGTCCGCCCCTGTCCTAAATTCATTATGGCTGGCAATAAAAAAAGAGTACAGATTTACAAATAATGTTTATTTAGAAAAAACACAAGTTTAATTGTTTATATGTACATATACATATGTTTGTTATGCTGAGTGACAAAATGAATGAATAATCTCGAACTCTCTTTAAGTGGATACCATCCGAGAGGGTATTAACAATATACGAATAAAAAAAATAAAGAGCTAAAGGCGAATAGTGCAAATGGACCTGCGACCCAGTTGGAGCTGCCCCGACATCCATTATGGCTCCACACCACCTCAAATCGGAACAGAAAAAATGGCGGAAAAGTGGGGAAAAGCGAAGGAAAATGCAGGCTGGCTTTCCCTTTGTGCCAGCTATGCTATGATTGCCCATGCTGATGATGACAATGTCGACTGTCGGGGGCCCTGCATCGAACGACTTTACAATGGGCACGATTTATAATTTGATTAGCGCATCGCTGAATGAGCACGGAAAAGAAAATCACGCTCAAAAGTCAAGCGGGAAGTGCAGCCGAGTGCACTGAGCGAAATCGAGGGTGTGGAGGAACCGCTTCCGAGCTGGCTGTTATCTCATCTAGTGCAAAATGGAGCGGGCCATCACACTCCGTTAGCTGACAATGACAAATGATGATGGAGGAGCGGTCGCAGGATAATCAAAAAAAAAAAAAAAAAAACAAAAAAAAAAAAAAGAAACCCAAGCTTAGCCAAAAGCCGAATCCAAACTAAAGTGAGCAAAAAGCCGGCCATTCTCCTTTGGCTTTCAATTAATCCGAGCAAGTGGCGCTTTTATTGAGCTAGGCCTGCCGCCATAATCAGTTGTGTTTTGTTTCCCACAATACGACAACAAAAAAACACACAGATATCCTCACGAAAAAAACACGATCCGCCCAAAAGGGTTTTATCTGGAAACAAAGGCGCCGAAATTTGCCTGCCATTCATTAAACAATGAACAACAAATCCAGCTGGGGGCGTGGCACTCTGCCCGGGAAATAGATTAATGGCCACAGACAAGGCCCAGCGAATCAATTTATAACACAGCCGACGGACCACCGCAAAGCCAGGAAAAAAGGTGCCCTTTTAGGATGAGGAATGTGAACAATAACGATAAATAATAAAAATTAAATACAAAATTACAAAATGCCTGTACAGCACATTCAATTTTATTAACCTTTCTTAATATCATTAATTTATTAAAATAATTTTGTAAGATGTTTCGGTTTTATATACAGTCGAATCCCGATGATTCGTACCCCGCTAAATCGAAATTCGCGATAATTCGTAAAAAATTCTGTTCCCTTGAAAAAAAATCCCTTAAAAAAAAAACTCGATAAATCGAATTCCCGTCTAATTCGTAAAAAAAGTGATCCCCTTGCCATTTCGAATTATCGGGACTCGACTGTATTCTAATTTTATTCTACCAAATCTATCTTGCACACTCTTTTATTTTTACAGTTTATGGTAAAATATATTATATAAAAACTTGCGTATTATGTCAAAAAATTAGAAAAATGTTATAACCAACCAAATTAACTTAGGAACATTCTCCATATTTAATCTAAGACCTAAGTGTGCTTAATATGAATTTATATATATTCTTGATTTATTTCTTTCTGAAATAGCAAAACTTAATTCAACAGAACAAGATCTTCCAATCCTAAGACTTTGCCTTCGAACACTCAAAGCGAGTACAGCAAGGATAGCAATCCGGTGCTTTAATGCAACTCAATCCAAACCGGGACAATTCGGCGGCCTCCCAAGCGCGATCCTGTTCAAAGAGCTCCATCATCCTTTGGCGCCTTGCACCCGTGATTAATTTGTCCGCCGTGGTCATCTCCACACTCATTGGCTTTACCAGGAAATTTACAATAGGACTTCCCGATGGTGTTTTAAGAAGATCTTTGTTGTTCAACAGTGAAAGGCTGTCGAAAACAAGATGAAATTAAAGTATTGAAATACCAATTTATTCCAAGCTCCCTTACAAATCCCCGGACTTCTTCATTTTGTATGACAGTTCCACATGGAGCAGTGTACCAAATTACGGAGATCGAAACACTAATGTAACCCAGCTGACAAATTTCCCTGGGCCAGGTTTGATGCTCCAGGTTTCCCACTAATCGAAAGCACCAGGATTGCCAGGAAGAAGATGAAAATTGAAAGCATCTGACTGACATTCAACACCATTTGCCACTCAAAAAAGGTCAATCAAATGAGCTGAGGCGCCGAACTCAATCGAGTAGTTTGGGATTGGGGTAAGAGGAATCACATCCGTTAACAAGGTTCTATTTTGAGTGCAAATGTTAGTCAACTTTGGTGTTTCCTTACAAATTGGTTAGATGAGAAGTTACTTAATTTGAGTTACGGAAATCTATGCCGAGTTTTTTCGGCACTTACAATTCACAAATTTCTATAACGTATGAGTATTATTTAAAATTAAAGCTTGACAAGTAAATTCTATAGATATATAATATGTAAATTTTTTTAGTACGTAAAAACTTGTGTAAAATTATAAGAATAACTTAATAATAACAACCGTGTAAGCTTTTGTCAAACCAATAATTATTTAGCATATTTTGTGGTAACTGTTATTTTTCAGATTTAACTGAACTCACAAAGGAAAACCAATATAATTTCTTGATTAAGCCAGAGCCGTTAAGAAGATTTCAATTAACCCAGTGTCCCGTGCACTTGTCTCTTAATTCTCTCTCTTTCACTTTCTTGGTGGCACCCCCTCCGCTTGCCCCACAAATAATCCCCACAAATTGCACAGCGCGTAGAGCAAACAATAAACAGACTAAGTAGTGGAGTGGTGGAGGCGGTGCCAACAAAGTAGGAAGATTGAAAAACAAGCCAAAACCAACACAAATCGTTGTTCGGCAATTTCAGCCAGCCCACACACACACACATACACACCTGTCCACCGAAAAGGCATTTGGCCAGCTATGGAAACCCACACTCCGCATTCCGCATTCCCCCCGAGACGTAAAGTCAGGTTCAGGAAAAAGGGGGCGGGAAACAGTCAGGTGTGTAATTGCAATTCGAATTGGTCAAGTGTAACAATGCAAAGACGGAGCTCACATCTCACACCTGCTGCTGCCAGCCGGGGGAATCAATTTGATCCTTGAACTTAGGCAACAAACTGAACCTGCAACTTGCAACCTTGCCGTCGCAAAGGAGATCGAGACTTGCAACACCCTTCCCCCACTTCTTTTCCTCCAAGCGGACGACTCCGATGGGAACGAAATCAAATTGCAAATTGCATCCGAAAATGTCACGTGCATCGACACATTTTTGGGAGCCAACTGTCTGAGGGTTCCTTTGGCCCGAAAACCGAGCTGAGATGTCGTGACATGGTCGACATGGGCAAAGGTTATTACAATCGCCCGCCAGTGCAATCAGTGGACACCAGACACGAATGGATACCACTGATGGGAAGCTTCGAGCAGAGGTGCTCGCAATATGGTTTCAAAACTGCAAGAAATAAAAGCTAATAGTGAGTGGTTGGTAGCCAACTTGAATTCTGACTTGTAAAGTCCTTAAAAGCCAATTTATGGCAGTTTTACGATATAAGTATGTTTAAAATGTTTTGGTAATTATTTTAATTATAAATACAAAATGTATATATCATACAATATTTGGATTTTAGAAAAAGTGAAAGTAGTGCGTTGGGTTTTGCCAAGTAAAGGTTAAATATATAAATAAATAGTTATTTAACAATTTTAAATTGTTTATTTTTAAGCCTATTTTCACCTTAGAAATGTTTACAAATTACTCGATCGTTGGATTAAAGAATCGAACAAAGATTTATCTGCAAAAAAGTCAAGAGAACACCACTTTTTCGCCGAAGGATTCGCAGTCTGCACCTGCAGCATTCTGCACTCTTTATCCCGACAATGAGAAGGGGAGGGGAGGGTTGAGGGGTAAGGCGGCGCTGTTCGAGGGGCGGAGTGGGTGGCCGCCCCATTCATTATGTTGACCACGCTGTCGCATTTGCTACGTGACATTCTGCTAACTGCCCTGAAAATGGAGCCAGGGCTTCATCGCACTTGGGCCATTGTCAGCTCAGCTTATAACCCTATAGCTTTATATACCCAAAAGTCTGATATCAATCAACTTTTTAGGCACCCTAGGTGGGTTATCCAAAAAGTAATTTTAATATTTTACTTCAGTTGTACCATTTTCTGTATCTTAAATAATTTGAAGTTTTTCATACTATAAAAACAAATTTAGGTTTTGGCTTGTTGGTTTCTATGAAAAAATTAAAATGTAAAATTTTCAAAGTTCTTACGTATATTTAACCATAAAAAATAGTTTTCAGTTCCTTTGCAAATTCAATTACTTAAAATATTCTTCATTTCACATATGACTCTTCACTTCTGGTTTAATATTTATTACCCTAATTTGAAGCAGCTTGAAATTTTGGTAGAGGCACGTTCAACAACGTGTTGCAGATAAATATTTAAACTTTTTTTCAGAACTTTTGTGCCAAAAGCGCAATGCTTTCTCCTGCGAGGCATACCCTTCTAGAAAAACCATACTGATAAATGTCCTCCCTCCGGCTGGGAATTAGATTGCAGTTAGTTTTCCACCCATTCCAGCTCATCCTAATCCGCTCACTCCTTTCCAGCTACTAATATGCCCATTGGGGACGTGATTGCAGCGATTCCATTCAGTTAGTCCACTGCATCATTCCGATATTTTGACCGCCTGGGAGACCTGGCCAAATTGAGTTGGGCTCGGGGCTTTGTCTTCCAATCGGAGGCTCCAGGAGCTGCCCTCGATCCACGTGATGGGTGCAGTTCAGCGTGCTGCCAAAATTTATCCAATTGCATTGCCATTACACTATACAAAGTTATGGCAATCTCTCTCCGGAGAATCGCCGGCGGAACGGAAAGAAACAATGCGGGGCGTAGCCAGTTCGAAAGTATCGAGATTGCAACGAAGTGGGCTTTGAATCGCAAGTAAATAAAGTGTCTGGGAAGCAGCAGCACCTCCGGCACATCCTCCCACAATCCGTGGTATCCTTGGAGCAGGAGTTGAGTTATGAACGTGCTGGGAGCAACAAAGCGAACCGAACACCCGCAATCCTGGAACAGAAACTTAAAAGAGGGGAAGCCTCGTAAAGTAAATGTGCAAACATTTATTTATGTGGCCTGCCAAGGAGCACTTTAAAGCTCAGCAATTGCCCTGATTTCTGGTGGTAACTACGGGAAGCTTCTATTATATATAGTCCTGCAACTGGACTTTGTAAACAAATCATTTCTAAAGGTTTGTTGCTTGAAGTTTTCCACGTTAAGTAAAATATTAGTGCCAGTTCTTTACTGCAGGTATTTATTACAAAATTGCTGTTTGTTTGTTGTGTAGTTTATATATATAATAAAATCCTATTTTATTTATTTTTAAGGAATGCATAAGAATATTGCACGTAATTTAAAAAAAGCAACGAAATGCAAATAAATATAATTTAATACACAAACATACCCATGATAAAAGAAGACTTGTTAAATGACGATGTATTGTTTTATTCAAACTACATAGTTGTAAAGTTTTTTGCGCTCATCAGGGAATACAATTTCCAGTGAACTTTAGCTAATGTCCTTGCCTCAAAAACATTGAAACTCACCTTTGGAATCCCATTTAATCCCGGCTGAAACATCATTATTTGGCACACATTTGGTCTTGGTTTTGTTCCTGCAGTCACATTTCAATTTTAATGAGCACTTGAGAGTTTCACGTTTTTAGCCGTAACTTTAATTAACAACAAAAGTCATGGTCTTGGCCTGCCGAAAACAAAAAAAAAACAAAATGAAAAAGCAATGAAAAGCTTAATTTGTAAGTGAAGGAAGGGCGGACAAGGGGGGAAAAGCGAAAGGGGAGGGGAAATAAAAAGACACATGAGGCCCGGAAAATTTCAAATAGAACTGCTGCGAGTGCTTCTTCTGCTTCCAAGGAACATGGGCCACATAAAAAGTCGCCAGCAAGTAGTTTTTGCTCTTGTACTACTGTTTCTCCCTCGTTTTTCGTCCCTGGCCATGGAAAATGGTTTTTCTTTTTTTTTTTTTTTTTTTTTTTTGCTTTTGCTCTTCTGTATTTGGGCCATGGGTACACGGGTACGGGATATAAATACGGGTTCGGGCTACGGGCCTCCGAAGTTGCTGCTGTTGGCGTTAAAAAAGCGGAAAATCGCAGCACATTTTTGCTTTTTAATTAAGCCCTCAATTTTTTATGTTCCATTCGAAAGCGACACGCCGTGATTTTCCGTCCGCCCCGCCCGTTTTTCACATCCTTGGATGTCGGGCAGAAATAGTTTACTCTTACTGCGAACAACATCTGGAGTGTAAATGTGCGTACACGGGTTAAGAGCTCGCAGTTTGACAAATTATTCTTACTCTCTGGCTTAAATTAAAAGGCGCTCGCTTTGTTCTTCAGCTTGGTATACAGTTCCAGTTTCGAATCTCTGATGTCAGGCATAATTAAAGGTAATTGTGATTACTGGATAACAGCGTGCATTTTTGCATTAAATGCAAGTTTAATTTTTATTCAATAATTATTTACGATTTTAGAACCAAATGTTTTGATCACCACAGGTTGAAAAATAAAACAAAAGCTGGTAGTAAAAACAACAATTTACTCTTCTTTTTTGCATGCTTACAATGCTTACCTACAAACGTACACGTTTAAAATTTTGCATTACATATATTACTAAGTAAAAAAAACAGCTCACTTCTTGTCACCCCGCTGGAAAGATGAGATAAATATATCAGGTAACGCTCTCAACCGATCAGTTTACTTCGGACCAGAGTCGCGCGATGGCCGCTGACAGAATCGCTTTACAAAAATGCTGATTTGGTTAAAGCGATCGTTGAACTAGTGAATCGCACGTGACGGCAATTACTTTTGGGTGCTTCAATAAAAACACCTTCAAAATAAAGGCATTTCGGTTTACATTCGCTAAACCGGTTTCAAAAACTCGATAACGCGAAAGCTTAAGGTTTTGGGACTGAAGCCAATCAGTTTAAAGCGGTGCACTTTATAGGAATCCACGAGCCATCCATCGTCTGGTTCCTGAGTACTTTGGATATCCAGATCCCGCAGATCAACCTCGGATCCACCAAGTTTCTTGCAGAAGGTAAGTACAAGTTCGCCAATTGCCAATCGACAGTGTTTCGGATCGAATTGTTCTTCGATCTGCGAGTCCGCGAGAACGTTCTGAATACGCTGGACCATTTCCTCCTTTTCTTGTGTGGTTCCGAGATCCAAGAGGTTTCTCAAGCCAACGAACAGCATGTCAACCAGAATATAACAGTCGCCATCGATCCATCGACGAACCACTCGAACGGGAAGAGCATGTCGCAGGTGTTCCCTTTGAAATCGCAGCAAACTGCCGTAGGGACGCCGATTCTGGGCCAATCCGTATATATCCAACGATCCTCGCTCCGTGCAGCAACTCCGGATGCAGGGCCAATCCGACTGCCGCACTGCTTCAATAATTGTGGCCGCCGCCTGACGAGTTCCCTCCTGGAACCCGCCCTCATCGAAGGCCACGCCCAACAACCGCCGGAGGCGCCACAAGCAGTAACGGTGCCTCAATCCACTCAGCAACTGCATCGCACTGACCTTCCAGCGGAGACGTGTCCTGGACAAAGAGCTCAACTCGCGGTGTGATTGAAGCCTTTGGGGGATCAGCAACTGAGAGGTGGTTGCACCACAGCCACCACCCCGCGCTAAACTAATAATTTTGACTGGGCTCGAGCCCCGAAGAAACCTCAAAAACATTTTTATACAAAAAGGACAAAACAATACCTTACCGGACTAACAATAAATACTACAGTAGAAAATATATGCCTACCACGATTGAAATCTCCTGTAAAAATAAAAGCTTGCTAAAGTTAAACCACAGCCCCTATGAATTTTATATAAAGAATTTGTAACAAAGTAATTAAAGAATGCATTTAATGTATTCGACTTATAAAGCACAATATGAATGTAAATTAAAAAGCGGAATACTAATGTTTATTGACTAGAATTTAAATAGGTAAAATTGATCCTTTTATCAAAAAGATTATTTTCATGTTTAGGTTTTATTATTTTCTTTTAAATTTGTTGTACGTATTATTTAGTTATTAAACCTTAAATTTGTTTATAAATCCATTACTCATGATATTTATTTTTAATTTTTTACAGCATGTCGCAGAACAATCTTGTTTTCTGGATCTGCTTGATCTTTATAGTTCCACACATTAAGGCTGCATATGATCATTATCGACTGCCAAATGCCCTCGAACCACAGCACTACAATCTGCGTATTCTCACCCACTTAAATAGCACTGACCAGTGGTTCGAGGGCTCTGTAAAAATCTATCTTCTCGCAAGAGAGTCCACCAAAAATATTACTTTGCACGTAGCCCACCTAAAAATAGATGGGGATCGAACTTCAGTAAGATCCGATCAAGAAATCAACTGCATCACTAATGTTGAAACAAATGACATTTATAATTTCTACACGCTACACTTGTGTCGAGAACTGGAAAAAGATCAAATTTACCAATTGGAAATGCACTTTGAATCAAGGCTTAACAATTCATTAAGTGGTTATTATGCAAGTAATTATACGGATACAGATACCAAAGAAGTTCAGTGAGTGTAATGGTATATTGTTCAAATATTTTAAGTTTTAATTTATTTTTTCCACTTAAGTCATCTTGCAGTCACACAATTTTCGCCTGCGTTTGCGCGGCAGGGATTTCCCTGTTTTGATGAACCCGCCTGGAAATCCACCTTTAACATCACTTTGGGTTATCATAAAAACTTCACGGGTTTGACTGGTATGCCTGTTATCGAATGCCAAACACAGTGAGTAGGTGGTATTGAAATTTTTCTTCCGAGATTAATTCTCGGAATCTATAAAGATCTATTCACCTGCCCTGCAGCAATATAATTCCCATGAATTCTTTTATTATTCCAGTGAAAATCTTGAAAACTACATTTGGTGCGACCACGAAACTCTTTTGAGAACCTCGACATATTTAGTGGCCTATTCCGTTCATGATTTGAAAAATGCAGTCACCGAAGAGAGCAAAACTTTTAATCGAGTGGTTTTTCGAAACTGGATGCAGCCAAAGTTATTGAACCAGGATGTGATTTCCACAGAAATGGCTCCCAAGGTGCTTGCCTATTTTGAGAACCTCTTTCAAGTTAATTTTCCCCTTAAGAAAGTCGATCAAATTACGGTGCCAACTCATCAATTTGTAGCAATGGAAAACTGGGGGATGGTCACCTTTAGTGAAGAGCGATTACCCCTTAATCAGGACAATTATTTGAAGCAAAAGGATGGATTTGCCGAAACGGTGGCCCACGAGTTTGCTCATCAATGGTTCGGAAATCTGGTCACCATGAAGTGGTGGAATGATCTTTGGTTAAAGGAGGGTACTTCCACGTATTTCTCCTATTTGGCTTTAGATGCTTTGGATCCCGAAAGGTCAAGAGGTGAACTTTTTATAGATGATAATTTGGCAAATTTCTTTGAAATTGATTCGGGACGTAATTTGACCGCCATAACTAAAGAAGTTAAGGGTCCTGACCAGATAAGTGGACAATTCTCACCATATGTTTACAAGAAGGGATCTTTAATTGTTCGCATGTTGCACAAATTGTTGGGAGACGAAGCCTTTTTCCAGGGCATTCGTTCCTTCTTGAAAAGATTCTCTTTGGGAAACGTGGTTCAAGATGATCTTTGGAATTCCCTTGAGGAAGCTGCTATTCAAACGAATGTTATATCCCCGGATTTCAATTTAAGTAGGGCCATGGATTCGTGGGTCCTGCAGGGTGGATATCCTTTGGTAACTCTAAATCGGGATTATAAGACAGGCAAAATGACCCTTAGTCAAAGCAGATTTTACGGCGGAAAGGATTTACCAATAGAATCACTTTGTTGGTGGGTTCCCCTGAGTTTTGTTCGCCAAAATCAACCGGACTTTAAAAAAATAACCCCACAATTTTGGTTGGAGTGCCCTTCATCTAGCCAAGTCTTGGAATTGCCCAATCTTCCAACTCCTAATGAATGGATAATTCTGAATCCGCAAGTTAGCACAATTTTTCGAGTTAACTATGATAAACAAAACTGGAATTTGATTACGGAAAGTTTGAAGAATGATGCAAACTTTGGTGGCATTCACAAAATAAACAGAGCTCAGTTGTTAGATGATATTATGGCATTTGCTGCAGTTAGATTGCAAAAATATGATGCTGTTTTCGATCTTTTCGATTATTTGAAAAAAGAAAATGAATTCCTGCCTTGGCAAAGGGTTGTTAATAAATTAAATCGATTGGGAGCTTTATTACGTGGCCAGGAGGCGAAGGATTTCAAGGTAAGTTAACTTGTATTAATTTAATTTAATTTTGTGTAATTACTTGAATTCCTTCTTTTAGATTTACATGCAAAAGCTACTTAATGCGTTGTACAAGCGCTTTCCAAAGTTCGCAGGGATAATAACATCAAGTCCGGCAATCAAAGATATGGCCTTTGCCAACTTTGTGTACTCCCAATCCTGTCGATATCACGTGGGTGATTGCACAAATCAGGCCAAGATATTGGTTTCAAGCCATCGAAATGGCTCTCAAATTGAGTTGCCCTCGGATTTCCAGAAAACTGCCTACTGCTCGTATTTGGAAGTAGGAGGGGAAATGGAATTTCAGGAGATATTTGCACTTTTTCAAAACACCACAGATGCAACTCAAAGAAGAATTTTGGCATCGACTCTCGGCTGCAGTCGCAATTTTCAGAATTTTGAACAATTTCTTAATTTAACCCTACAATCCGAGGAGAAAGTCAATAGCGAATGCTACAGGTTAGCAGTTCAAACGGCTTTGAATAGAGAATATATAGTTTCTCAAACTGGAAACTATATTCTGAGCCATGCCAAAATCATGGGGTAAGTTAAAATTATTTTATGTGTATTTTAAATAGCTTATTCAAAAACAATTTCCAATTTCAGTGAAAAATTTAAAGAAATGGAACTAACACCACTGCTATCGAGTTTTGCTACAAGTCTCCAGAGCCCAGAGGAATTAGAAAACCTCAACGTGCACTTGAAGGACCTCAAGGAGTTTAAGAAACCCCTACAAAAAGCACTCGATAGAGTTCAAACAAACCAAAAATGGCAAAAGGATTGCTTGGCTGATTTCAAGGCGGCTCTAAGGAAACGTATATGAAAAGATTAATTTTAAATTATTATTGATAAGTAATGATTTTTAAATTGAAATATATCCGTTTTGAATGACTTTTAATCGATTCCAGGTGCAAGCACCTGTGTCAACTGATTCTGGCTAAGACTCGGTGAGCTGTCAAGATCCTTGTTCTCGGTATAAATTAAGGCAATAGCGATGAAATCTTGGAGCCAGCATTGAAAGGAATGCGATTTCGTAGGCGGGGCAGGATGTGGACTCAAGGAGGCCGGCTGTCAGAAACGGGTCCTGTCAGGACTTTGACTGGTGGATTGCCTGACACGGGACACACACACACACACACACACACACTGACACTATCCGCTCGAGGAGCATCCATCTGGAGGTCCTTTGTTTTGGCGGTTGTGCTTGGTCCTTTCTGGCATTTGACGTTTACACGGGTACGTCAAAATATGTATTCCTCACTGCCACATCCACCGATGATGACATGTGGAAAGAACATGGAAATGGCGGCCCGGCATTTAGTTATCCCCTTTGTTCGCCACTTCCAGGTTTTGTCATCTCAATGGAGAAGGACACGAGATTCAGCAGGGCTCACAGCTGGCTGCCAATTAGACAAATTAATCGACGGTTATTGATGTGCCAGCGGCTTAATGGATGGCATTTCAAAAGTGGGTCTTAAGGCGTCAATCAGGCGAAAGTATCTGTCAATTGCAACCAATTTGATAGCTTATGCAAGCTTGCATTTGCTAACAATCACTCACTTGATTGTTGACTGCTCCTGCACAACATAAGGAATATTTTGACTGATTTTAGCTAACAATCGCCTGAAGATAATAGAACACAATGCGATTGAAAGCTTAGCAGTTATTCTGCTTACGAACTTAATTGAAATTAATACAATTAATATAAAATACTTAGGGAGAGTTGGGCTGTGTTACTAAACATGGAAAATCTATGCAAATCAATTTTGGTCAACAAATCACATTAACTGACATTATTTAGGAATAATCAAATAAAAAAATTAAAGAAAACGATTAAAAAAACCTGTTTGACAATTACTGTGCAGTAATATTCATTCAAGTAAATATTGCGCTGAATCAATCAATTGATGACCCATAATTGAAACCACAAAGGGAATCCATATGCACATACATCTTATATAAAATGCATTGGCTATGTGCGGCGCTTTATTTGTTGGGAAATGCATACATAAATGCAAATGCAAATGAAAAGTGGCCCTGTCAGAAAAATTAACGCTATTAATGCTTGTTAAAAGCGGTTATTAAATTAATTAAATGTGATGCCAGCTTGACGCGCGTGTAGAACAGGACAGAAACAGAGGCAAATAAATTTGGTCCGGTCGATGTGCAAATGTTTTTCGACATACAACGGACTCCGGTCCTCGGGATTATTTCACGTTAAATATTTACGCTGGACATGGGCATTTTTAGCGCTACTTTTTGCTTATTTATTTATCACAAATTAATTGAATCCGAACGCGGCAGATAGAGTGCGGCTGAAATGTCAAATTAATTGCGCGATTGAAGTGCCTTCAAAAAAACGATATGTACTGTGCTACCCAACTTAAAAGTGCACAACTTTTTATTTCCTGTAGCATATCTTGAATATTTGGTGGATAATAAAACAATAACACATCTAAAAAAATATTTATTTCAATTTATTCAAACTTGTTTTTTCAACACAAAATAATCAAAGGTATGTTTTTGGTTCTACAACAAAGGTTTGATTGTTGATTTAAAATGTTTAAAAAAATGTGAGCCTTTGTTTGTTTATTTTAAACTATTTGTAATCCCTTTTTTAAATGAAAACCAAGTGTTTATGTAATTTTTTGGCCTGGTTGGTTGGCTCTTTCGAATGCCTGATGCCTGAGGATAATTCTGGATTTTAGCCGGAATTGGAGCTCCTTCAGCTGCTGCTGCAGTTTGGCACACAATCAAATTTTGAACGTTAATTAATATGCATTCTGTGTCTGGCAGGGCAGGGATCAAATTATGTAATAGCCGCATTAAAATTGAATTTCTCGATGCGTGCCCCGCAAATTTCAGCTGTGTGTGGGTGGGTATATCTGCCCATTGGATGTCTATTGATATAGATGTAAGTATATATAGACTTGGATTTCTGTTCACGTGGGGACCTCCACTCGCTGTCCATTCGAAAATGGAAAATGGTCTAATTACCTCTAATTGAATACGACAAGCTTACCCCCCACGCAATCCCGCTTTCCCAGTTAAGCGAGACAAATTATTTGTGTGTAGCTGCAATTGCAATTCAATTGGAGTGTTTGGATTATCAATTCCTGGCCATTATTCTGTGTGCCCGACAATCGGGTCAATTGCTATTCCCAAGGAGTTGCAAACGTGATTACCATTCTGTTCAAAGGTTTATCAGGTTATGAGGTTCATATTTGCCATGTTTATTGAAGAAGATAAACTCCTACAATTTATGATTACAGCAGTCAATTGAACCGAAAATTGTTTATTATTGCATACTTACAAGGTAAGTTGTTCTTGCTCTAGATTGCTTACAAGTTTTTAAAATTTAAATTATTATAATATTAAGTTTCAATGCCTTTAAAAGTAATATATAGTCAGGGGTAAATTATAATAAGGGGAAGCTGTTATGCTTACTTTTATTTTTATCTATAAAATCATTTTTTTTGCTTTTGCCATTTAAGGCTACTTTTCAAAGCGAAGCCTCTTTTCTTCTATAACTTCTTGAATACATCATTTTAAATTGCATTTTAAAGCCAGACATGAACTTAACAACCTTTTCATTGGACTGACCTTTTTACCTGCCAAGTTTTCTTTGAAATTAAGCCCGTTACTGGGGAAATATATTTCAATTAGTGCATTTTTTCCCTTGGAAGCTTTGTTGCTCCATTGTTCTTGGTCCTTCCGATTTTCCATTTACTGTGTTGTACAGCTTGTTTGTTTGCCTTTCGATGGGAGATGTCGATGCTTTTTATTGTCTAACTTGTGTATTACATTTTGTTGATGTCGTAAATTAAGGCAGATCGGGATGTGGGTGTTCATTGTTCGTTGTTTTAATGCCGCCAAGGGAAAATAAATTCATTAAAAACTTTTGCCCAATGCGAAAATCCTTTTTATTGACTTTGGCCGGTCGGTTCGGTGGTTGCGTGTGCAAATATTTATGCAAATATTTCTGCACTGGCTAGCATGTTTTGATTGTGCGGGGTCTGTTGCATATTCAGAATCTGAATCCGAATCGAATCGAATCGAATCGAATCGATTTGCTGACCAAATGCGGCAGCTTGCACCTCGCCCCTTATCATAATCAGAATGGAAACTTTCCTTACTTTACTTTACATTTATTGCTTCCTTCCCCGGGCCACAGTTCTTTTGTTTGAATTCTGGGCGAAAGAAATAGAACGTGAAAACTATTTCTTGCTGGCGCCTCCAGGCTGCAAGACATTCAAGAAAGTTGCCACAAAAGTGGAAACCGTACCAGAAGCCCGAAAACTTCCCCTGTCCGGCCAACAGAGAGAAACGGACGGACATGGACAGAGTGGAGCGGAAAGAAAGGGGCACAAAGAGATGGCAACTTACAAATTTAGATTACGAGGCAAGCACAATTGCCACACATGTTTGCACAAATGCTGGCTGGATTGTTTAATTTCGTTTAATTAAATTGCAAATATTTTATTGCTGCACTTGCAACAGAAATTTCCCTTGTAGCGTTTGAATTTGTGTGGCGACATCTGGCACATGGAGCACTTCTCTAGCATTATTACTAACTGCAAGTGTTTCAATCTGTGAGTACATAAAAAAACATTAGTAAGCACTTTAAAGTTTCGCATCGTTGAGATAGAAAGTTATTGAAGGGTTAAATAAATGCATGTATAAATAAATATAATAGGAGAGATAGCTATTTTTGAAAGAACTATAGATACATCTTCATTTAGTTGTTAGTTGATCTATCCAATTTAAGGTACAACTTTCTCTCTGTGTTTTCTTACTGGTGTAGTTTATTTCTCATTTAATGCACTTAAATGCGAAATTGTTATTATGGCTAATTTCGATTAAATCGATAAGCAATCATCGAAATGGCATCGCTCGACACCTCTATAAATATTGAGAGTGTCAGCCACTTGATGCTAATGCAAATTCGATTCTCCCAAGTCATGTAACCCACGACTCAATAATTCACTTGACCACCTCAACGAGCTCTCTTGATTGGCTCCACTTTGAGTGGGTTGCCGCACGACCTTGGCAGTGCAAAACAAATCCCCAACCCCCCAAAACAAAACCTCCCACACTCAAAACAACATTGGCAACAAAAACAGAAGCAAGCAGTTGGGGAAAAGGCATCGAGTTCCTGCTTTTCGAGCCACTTTCTCCTCCTCTTTTTGCCGGGCACTTTCTCCTGCTCTTCTATGTGTTTCTTTTAAGTGCTCCTTATAGTTGATTTCTGTTGTTGTAGTCGAGTTTCTGTTTACCTGCCGCAAACCAAAAAGAAAGTATCCAAAGAAAAACACTTTTATCACGCATCGGATGGAAAAACCAATAGAGGAAAAGCTTCAAAGTCCAACATGGACAGGAAGAGCCCACTCACTTCCCTATTCCGCACCTGCCTTTAAGATGGAAGAAAACGTCTGCAGATTTGTAGGATTTAATATAATGCATTGAAAGGAATAAAGAAGTGTACTGAAAGTATAGTAAACGGCTTGCTATCTTTAGTGTTTTATTCATTTGTTGATTTCATATTTAAAAGCAAATCCCTTACTTTCCACCGTGTATTTGCTACACCCATTCGGCATTAGCTTTCTCCACTGGAAAGTGGTACACAATCAGTCTAATCTGGCTTCAATTTTCGTTCGTTGAACAATGGAACCCCGCTTTGGCTCCCGTTAATCCCCCATGACAACTCGTAAAATTTTAAAGCATATTTACGGGCGGCTGCTCATTATTTTGATGCGCTTTGGCAAATACATACAGATCCAAAAAGGATGAAAGCGGCATAATGTTTGGGTGGGGCTATTATGAGGCGTGGGGGGTGGTAGGTGTGGAATAACATGAAAACTGGAACCGAAACTGGGACTGTGATGCATATATGCATAT